TGAGACCAGTATAAAGCAAGTGTTTGACAAGGATATGCATTAGAAAAATGTTGTGTTAAAAAAGAAGGGGTATCTAAACTAGCTCGCCTGTATCTGGAGCTAAGCAATATAATCCACATTTAGTTGGCGATAAAGAAGGTGAATCTACGTAGCAACACAACGTATACAATCCTCTTGGGTTGTGAGTTTTGTGGGAAATACCACATCTTTGATGATACAATAATAATTAGAGGGCATTTGGATGATGGTAACTGTTGAATGATGTAAAAGTTTGAACTGGAATGGAGAGAAGAAAAAGTGGCGAGGGAATGAATACTTTTTTCGATCATTATTATTGTTTGATGAAAGAATGTGGTGTGGTGGTATACTATACTATACTATACTGCACACCCAAAAAGCTTAAAAGTGAAAACGGGGTGCGTGGACCAGCCAAAATTATTGGTGCCACTTCTGACGGGGTACCATGGAAATCGAACAAGACAAGCCAACCACACCACCCCAGCATTGTGGGACACTCCTACCCCTGTTGCCTCTCGACCAAGCACCACATTCACTCCCACTTTTACTTTCCTTTCTTATCACTTTCTTCAAACTCATTCAATAACACATTTTAATTCTTTTCCAGTAAAAATCTACTACAAATCTATCAACACCTACTCGGACTACTTAATTTGAGTTATTTTGTTCTATAATACGTTTTGTGTCTTGACGCTTAAGGTACTCCATTTTAGACATCAAGGTATTCATCCATTAGATCTTGTACATTAAATACTTGTTTGAATTCTATGTACACATGATAGTCATCATATAAATATTTGTTAAAGTTTAAGAATCAGTTGAATTCTAGTAGCAGTTAAAGTTAAGAAACTTCAACAATGATATCAAAATCGATAATATATTTAATAACCTACTCAATCCAACACAATTTTTTCAAACAAATAAAATAACCACAACAAATATAAGCTTACGTTGTTAGGCAAATGGGTTCTACTAAATTACTAACTAGCTTAGTTTATATATGCTTGATAGTATTGTGTAATTTTCCACTAACATTGTGGTTATCTTTACCTTTCGCTTTCTCTGTCAATTTTGCTCCTCCTTTTTACTATAATAACATTGTGCGCATTACATCATAGTCTTCACTACATAAGGTCGATGTAATATCTGTCTTATTATCTCTGTTCCTTTTCACAACTTACATTTTTAAAGTTTTTCTTCCCTTTTAGATATGTCATCTTTGTAGAATGTATATAAAGTTTTAACTATTTTTATGATAATATTTGTTTTTAATGCCTAATTGCATTATTTTTAATTTTGTCTACACTTTTTTTATGTTTCTTTTACCTTTTTGTAATAGTGGTTTTGTTGCGTCATTAGTGACTAATATATTGAAGTTGATAAAATTAATTAGTATATTGTAAATAAAGCGGTTTTGAAAAAAAAACTATTTAACACAACTTCTGAATTTGGGTCAATTAAATAAAATGATATATAAATAAATAATGGCTAAGTAGATGAAGGGAACTCGAATTTGAGTGAGAAATTAAATATTTCATTATTGGGAAGAGTCCATCCACACAAGGCTCACCTTTTGTCAGAATAGTAAACCCTAGCGCCAGAAGCATGTTTTACAAAATGGAGCACAAACTTTGGTGACAATTGAGCCACGTCCATATAAAATTGAATTCCCAGTCACAGAATATTTTGGAATAAAATACTTATTATCAATTAAGAAACTGTGTTTACACGTGAGATAAAGTATAATTGGATTAACTTTCGCACAAGTGTTTTTAAAAAAGGGAATTAAAAAAATATAATTAATTTATAATAAAAGGTTTCATTTATTTCTTTTTATAATTATATATTTAATTTATGTATAAGTTGGTTTCAATTTTTTATAAAATATTTTACATTTAAACCATTCTTAAAAAAAAAACCTTATCCAAACAAATTAGAATCAAATTATCATTATTATTACTTTTCTTTTCTTGTTTAGTAATAATTTGATGTTTAGTTATCATGTTTGCAATAAAAAGATCATTTTGTTTATAAGATATTTTCTATAGTAGAGTTTTTTTATCATGATTATAAAAATTATTTTGATGGATTAAAAATATATATATAAATTATCTTTAACTTCGATTTTTAGTCGATGTAAGACTTATTAGCGTAGTAAAATATAAGTTTTTATTTTAATATACCATTTAAAATATCAATAAAAATCATTACTCAAGTATATAATAATTGGATAAAGAAAAGCTATTTATTAATATTCCCCAATAATTGATGTCTCTATTTAATTTAATGTGTGGACAATGTTGCTTTGGTGTAGCTGCAAAGATTTTAAAATGAATATTTTTTTTTTCAGTAATTTTAGTTGGTCTGGTTACATATTTAAAAATGAATACTTTATAGTTTTACTATTAACTTATCATCTAATTTCCAATTCTTAATCATTTTGATAATGCGACACTCTCATTATACAATAATTATTTTGTGATTTTATTTTTTTTATGTATTTATGATTTATTAAATATTAAATTATTTAACTTGTAAGAAATTAATCAATCAATGTTACTTAGATTTTTCTATAGATTTATGTCCCCAACTATCAATTGAATGGTAAGTTTATGTTAAATAAATATTTTTTTAAACGTGTAAAAAAACAATTAAAAATAATGTAATTAAAATTGTTATTTTTAAAATAATTAAAAATTTAAAATGTGAGCTAAAATTCCACATTAAATATAAATTGAAAAAATTGAATAATTTATAAAAAAATCATAATTTAATAACTTAAAATTTTGAATAAATAACATTAAATTTTCTTTTATAATTAGCTCATGTCTTATTTATTAAAATATTTCTATACTAACTCCTCGCAAATGTGATATAAAGAAATAAATAAAAGTATGAAAAGCAAAATTTTCTGTACACAGAATAAAAAGATAAAAATGCAAATAAGTTAATTTAAAATGCTGAAAATAATCAATTAATAAGTATGCTTTGCTGGATAAACCGTTTTAATTCATTACAACATAGCCAGTCATTTAAAAGGTATCAAACAGACACCGTTAAATTCCTACTTTAAGTTACGCAAAATGCAGAAACTCAAAGTATATATTAATTTATTAAATAAAAACTCATATTTTCCCTTTAATTTTGTACAGAAACTCATTTAAAATGTTCTCTAACAATTATTTTTGAAAATACAGAAATTATTTAAATATATATAATTTTCTAAAAATATTCAATAGTGTTAATTCATTATCTTGTAATAAAATTAATTTAGAATTATATTTATTACTGAAAAGGGAGATTAAAAGAATATATAATTTTAAAAAATTACAGGAAATAAAAATAAATATTTTATTATTAATCTCATATTTAAATTGATTAAAAGTAAAAGAAATTATTTAAAATTTAAAAAAATTACTTATATAAATAACTATAACCAAATTTTAAATAATAAAATATTTAATTTTATTTTTAAATAATTCTTATTAAAAAATATCTTTATAAAATATTAAAATATATTAGATAAAACATACAGTTGCATAAATTTCTGGGAAACGTTAAATTCTTACGTAAAAAATGATTTAATATCCAAATTAGTATATTGGGAAAAGACTTAAATATTAAATACATACGCGTTTTACGTCATGCAAGTTTTTTAACTTAAATAATTGTAAAACTATTAAACTCATTGATTGAAATATTTAGAAATTCTATTTCAGTATTCTGCTTGGTGACGCGGACCTTCTGGTAGCCAATAAGAGTCAGGAAAAGTGACATGTACGTTTTTAAAATTTTAAAATATCCAAATCCCTATTTGGCACTGAAAAGGTAAACTAAAAAACTTAGTTATAGTTTTAATTCTCATAGTATAATTTATGCATAATTTTAATGTTGAGATTTAATTGTTATAATTTTTAACTATTGAAATGAAGTATCTCACTTAAAATTTCATTTAATAATTAATAGAAATATAATAAAAAATGGTATACTATCGATGCATCGGGTGTGATAGTTGACCCACTCAGTATGTTTATTCATACTAAAAATGGTACTCTTTTTAAAAAAAATTATCGTTTTTGGAGTTTTTCTCTGAGATGAAAGTGCAGCTCATTTTACTTTACATATAAAAAAATAAATTAAAATTTTGAATAAACAGAGGTATTTTTATGTGCACAAATAAAAATTAGAATACACAATTAATGATTTTTTTTAGTAATATGTTTGTATGATTTTTATTTATATCTATAAAAGTATTATTATTTTATATTTTTTAGTGATTTTTATATAATTTTTTAAAATTCTCTTTTTTTACTCTATCTATCTTTTTTTCTTCCAACACCTATTTTTCTAAAAAAAATTAAACAAAATACTCAAATATTGTATTATAATTCACTGAATAAAACTAGTCTCTGTTTTCACTATAAAAACAGAATGTGTAGTCATTATTTAATTTATACTATCATTTAAAGTAAATTTGCATGACTTAATGATTATAATCATTTAAACATACTCAAATAATTAAGAAAGAATTTTTCAATTATTATTTTTTAAATGAAGTTATGCAATAATTGAATGAATATATAATTGTTAAATGTATAAGCTTAATTAAATAAATTTCGTTATGTTCAGTTTTTAATTAATTTAATTTTTTATTGCTAATCAGTTATTTATTTATTTATTTATTTTTGTCATAAAGACAGAGGCCTTACTAGTGTAGTAGAGTTGAAAGAGAGTGTTGACGCGAATTTCTTTATCGTAAAAAGAAGATTGATTAATAATGAGCATCGTCAAAATAAAAACTAAGGGTGTTGTTTCACTCCTCGGTTTCAGGCTCTTGTTTTATTTATTTATTTATCTCCCCCAAACACACCACTGTTTTCACCTTCACTCTCTTCTCTCTCCTTCTTCACAACTCACACACACCAAACCAAAACCTTATACTTGTGTAGCAAGAGAGAGAAAGACAACAAGGAATTTCCAAGATGTTGCTCGGGAAGAGACCTCGACCTCCAATGAAGAGAACCACCAGCATGTCCGAAATAACGTTGGATCTGAACGTCGCCGCCTCCGATGCCGCCGACCAACGGAGATCAGGTGCTATTGGCGGCGCTGGTGGCGGCGCGTTAACGCCCAAAATGCTCAGAAGACATTCTTCGGATTTCGTAGACACACCTCACTTCCTGCGCGCGTGTGCCCTCTGCAAAGGCCGCCTCGCACCCGGTCGCGACATCTTCATGTACAGGTTTAAGTCTGTTACATTCCAAACTGTTCCCGTTAACTTCCGCAATTCTTTTATTTCTCAATTCTTAATTTCTTCTGTCTGTTTTGAATTGAACAATTGTAAATTTTTTTGTTTTAATTTGTAGGGGTGATAGTGCTTTCTGCAGCCTGGAGTGCCGTCAGCATCAGATGAACCAGGACGAGAGAAAAGAGAAGTTTGTCACGGCGTCGAAGAAGCAAGTCGTGGCTCCTCCACCGTCTGGGTCTCAAGTCGCCTCCACCACCAAGGGCGAAACCACCGTGGTGGCGTTGTAGATGCGAAACAGAACCCAGCATGTCAAAAACATGTTTTTATAGCTCCTCTCTTTCTCTTTATCTCAGCGTTTTTCTTTCTTTCTTTTTATTTTGCGTTGCGACTTTTTGGATAATGGGAGTGGGTGGCTTTCCTTGCTTACATCGGCAAACTGGGCAAGTGTTATTTTTGGAACTTGGAAGTACCTTGTAGTAATCAATACCCTTTGGATTTTGAATCCATAGATAATTGTTGAAATTGAAAACGAAATTTCGAAATCCTAATCTATTGTTGCTGTTTTTACTTTCTAGTTTTCTTTTTCTGCAGATGATTTACTAATTATGAACACTTGCAGAGATTTGAATACAAGTTTTTAGTTTTCACTATGACAAATTTCATATCCTTGTTCCACTTTTCGTTTCTAAGTGGTGCCCTGGTTCGTTTGTTTACGGAATTTTGTGGATGGCGATTCCTCAGAGGAATAAATTTCCTGTAAGCTACAACAAGTTGTATAACATAGATCCTGATTTTTTTTTTCTTTTATCAATAATCAATCGACAAGGTAAATCTGTCAAATCAATCTATGCGTGCTGTGTCTCATTAAAAATGGATGTTCGAGGCAATTCCAAAGGCCTGATCAAAAGGCACAAAAAAAAAAAAATCACAATGAGTTTTGGCATTTCACTGATGCAGATTTATATAGGTTTTGATTTGGATTTGCAACTTTTTTTCTTTACAACTAAGCAACGAGATAGAAGAAGGTCGACTCATCTACAGCAACTCAAAGATTTGATATCTTTGTCCAATGTGTCGATAGTGTTATCAAACGTAATAATTGTTGAGTGAAGTTGGATATAACATTAACAGTAAAAAATATACTGATTCCAAAAACTTGACTACTTGAGCGTCAGAAAATGAACCTTTCCTTGGTGAAAGTTGAACCAATAAGAAGGACCTTTGGTGCAGTCATACAATACACTAGAATACGGTAAATGCAAGTTGTGGTGCGGATTGCATATCACGAAACAGACAGCGGGACCTTGCAGAGAGACTTGTAAAAAATAATAAATAAACATTAATCAGTGGTAGGGCTTGGCATTGGAAACAAATACACTAACTTTTTCTATATTTTATTTAAAAAATAAACAGTGGCATGTGTGAGATACTTACAGGAAGGATCAAGAATGAATAATTCATGTGAGATCACAGTGGATGTATGTAGCCAATAGTTATAGATCCTCTCATTCTCAGTTTTAAAATTCCTATTACATGTTTTTTAATCATTTTGTTTCGTAAAACAATTAACTAAAACGAAATAAAATAATCAAAATCTCTCTCTTGGTTCCCATTGGAGCTGCCAATAATGCATTCTGTTCACTCCTACATTTCCACTTTTGTAGGCAATTGAGACAAATTTGTTTGCTGAATATAGAAATTATATACATACTTTTATTGGTATATATAGGTTTGGAACCAAAGAAAGATTTTTCTATTCTAAAATAAGAGTTGTACTGCTACAAGTCTTGTTTCCCAAATAATTTATCAATAAAGCATCATTAATAAAAATCTAATCATTGATGTTGTAGCTCACCTTATTTGATCAATTTAGCAAACTATCATAGTTATAATTATTGTCGTACTTGAGCTCTTTTATGAATGATATGTACGAAAAATATTAAATATTATTATTAGTTGATGATTACACTTGTGATTTTTAAATACATAACTGCGAGAGCAAATATGACATAGAAGTTACAGTCTTATTATAGAATCCAAAAATTTAGAAAAATGTAGAGTGGCATCATCAGGAGGAAAAAACAGTGATAAAAGAGGAACAGTTCTGTATGGAGCTTATTGAGAGAGAATTGAGAAAAGAAGTTAACAAAATTGATTAGAAAAATGTAGCTATAACCTTATTTATGGCAATTTGTTTATTCATTAATGCGACAACGGAAAACAAAAATTAAAATAAAAAGGAGTTTAGAGGGATGGAAAGGGCAACGTTCACCTCCGCATAAGGGACGCGGCGGTCTTGGGACGCTTCTTGCAGGGGACCACACCAAACTCTCCCACAAGAGGAAGACACAACATAAAACATGACTCGGTCCTATCAGAATTCAAATTTTATACAATAAATTCCTATGAATGATAAGTGATAAATGTATATTATTGTTCCCTTTCTAAATTTCTTTTATGCTAAAATTAATTATCTCCTCTATTTGTAGATTTTCAATGTGTATTCCTAACATGAATTCATGAACTTGGTTTCAAGCAACGGGTTGCATAACCACAACATTAGGGTTTTGCAAACATCAATTTTCATTAGTTAGGATGCTTGGTTTTGTTGTGATGTAATCTTTGTTTATTTTGTTATTGTAGTCATGGGCCACATCCTTCAGTGGGGCAAGTCCAGAACCAGAACCACTTAAACTACGTAAACAAGTCCAAACATAACCTCTTCTCCAGCACCATGTACTAGAACTAGTAGGATTTATTACTGATGTTTTGACCTCCTGTTATAAACACTTCTCTCTACAATAAATATTTATTTTATACAAGTTATATAAGAATTTAGAAAAACGATGAGATAGAATTTCTATAAATTATTTTTTAAATAAACTTATAAAAAATATTATTTCATTTTTTTCATCTCTAGAATATAAATAAGTTTGTCCAAATACATTTCATAAGTCATATATTTATTATATAGTTTAGATTTTGACTTGTATGAGTAAAACTAACTCGAATCCTCTGGATACAAAAAGTTAATTTAAAAAGGATGCCAAATATTTTAGCTGAAAGCATATCCATGTTCAATTTAAAAAATTATTTAATAAAGAATCTATAATTTAAACATACGTCCTACATGAATCTCATGGTGATCAGTGACGGAGGTTTTTTTTTTTATGTAAAGAGTGTCATGCCCCAAATTTTTAATTTTATTTATATATTTATAATTTTTATCCTCTAAATTTAAGAATTTGGAATCGGTGAACCACATTTAAGACATGTCCTCCTTGTTTTGACCATTTATTTTTATTTAAAATATAAAAGACATATTCATTTAATTAATAATTTTTTATTATAAAATTTGCACTTTTTTTTAAATAATGATCTTAATTTTCGAGTATATCAGGATAATAGTTGTTTAATTTTTTTAACACGAAGAATAATTGTTAAATTTATGTTTAGAAAGTATGATTGCGTGATGAATGTGGCTCGTTTTGAGACTCTGTTCCTTCAACATAGAAAACATAAAATCACATCAAAATCTAACTATCATGGAAAAAAAAAAAATAATAATAATATACCTGCTGCATAAATCTTGACTTCTACTACTACTACTACTACTGTTATCTCTACAATTGCTGAGAGCTGAAACCAAATCTCACTGCAGTAAGAATTACAATCAGAAAATGGAAGACATAGGGAATGAAAAGTTTCCTTTGTGAAGCTATAATTATCATTCAGTACATATAATGGAACAAGAGACCAATTCCAAGGTAAGACACTCGACCTTATGATACAAAAGAAGAAACTTCATATAGAGAGACACTTGGGTTTAGATTTGGGAGATTCCAGTGAAAACCAAGGTCTGAGAGTTAATGCTGGTTGGAGTGCACAACAAGCGTACCTTTACATGTGTTGTATCTTTTTATTTTCACTTATAGGATAGGGACCCCAAAAGCACTAACTAGCACAATTTTAAGGGAAATTTGTAACAACTTTTTGTAGTGACCATCACTTCACAAGCTAACTCGGCTGAAAGCTACAGGTCGATCTCTACCATCCCCCACTTCATTTCTTCACCTCATTTCCCTAACGATGGCAAAATCACATTTTTCAAATTTCTCTTCAAGGGTCCTCGGCCAGCTTTGGAGAACAGTATGCAACAGCCTCTGCAACAGTGAGGAAGATCTTGTCCTCACCAAGCAAAGCAGCAAAGTTTGATGTGTGGAGTTTGTCTATTACTATTGGCCCAGGATTTGCCAGAACAAGCTGCTCAAATTGGTGCATTCTTTGGTAAGATAATCGTCACATTATACCTTTTAGAATTGTTTGAGTATAGGGTTTGATTTGATGATTACCTGAACATCTCTTTTCTGAAGACTTCTAAATAACTCTTCAAGGGCATGGATGCCGCTTGTATCGATGTCGGTGACCGCTGCAATAAACACAGTTTGAGAACAATAATATGAATTTGTGTGGTTACGACAGAAAAATGTGACAAACATAGGGAAAATATAGACACTCACGTGACATCTCAACTATCAAAAATTGGATTCTTGTTTGGTAGTCTCCTTGCACTTGTTCTTCCTCATCCATCAGCCATCTTAATATCCTGCAAGATAACAACAGTTCATTGGCATAAGAAATAGTTTTCAGAATTACCAAAACTAGGAAATAGGTTATGAACTTATTATCATTTTAGAGTACTATAGTCAATGAGAAGAGAAAAACAATTCAGTTCTGTAGAATAGTTCAAAATTCAAATTCTACGAGTATGAATTTAAGATACAAATCCTCTTAAGAGTAAAGTGGATATCACATATCACAATCAGATCTAACTATATGATTGACTCAACCTTTCCTGTTCATAATTCAAATATAATATCCCTTGTAACAACCATATTAAAGCTATAACGACGTGCATGTTTAAATTTGAAATATCGTAAAGCTAAATAGTTCACATAACTATATGCTGTCCTGGTACATCAGCATTGAAACTTCATACAACCATGTAGCATATCTAGTATCCCTGATATTTTCAGAACAATATAACTGTTCTCTTGTTATTTTAGATTATTGAGACAAAAAAATTGAGAAGTAGACAACTGTATAAATGTCAGGATACATTTCTAGTCGGTTAAAACTCAAAAAAGTACAAACTAGGAACAATTTTACCTTTCTTTAACATAGTTGGAGTTGGAAAAATATATTGCAGAATCAACTCTAATGATCAGTACACCAGGAACCCTGGTGGCTTCAGGGTATTGTTGGATGTTTCTGTAGACAGTAGTCCTAGGGATCTTCCCCAGAATTGCAGTTCGTGGCCTTGTGACTTGTAATAGGATCTTTGCAAAGGATATAGAGACCTACCACAACAATACCCAAATTACTACCTATAAGAAAGCACATTGACATTATGGGGCATAGGATAACTTTGTATCAGTACTTACTGCAATTAAAAGTCCTATCTCAACTGTGGCAAAAACAACCCCAAAAAAAGCTCCCATGCAAGCAACAAAGTCAAATTTATCAATCTTCCATATCAAAATTGCTGCCTTATAGTCCACAAGGTTGATGACAGCAGATATGATTATTGAAGCAAGAATGGCATTTGGAGTGTATTTGAAAAGAGGCGTGAGGAATTCCAAGGTTAAGAACACAACAACAGACATGACAATATTAGATACTGCCGTTTCGCAGCCAGCCATGTAGTTTACTGCTGACCTAGAGAAAGAACCTGTAGATATGAAGACATTAGTCTATAACCTACGAAAAATTAGTGTAGAATCTATTTATACATTTTCATAGTTAATTATGAAACTAACTACCATATTAGAGTAAATTAGTTTCACTTAAATATCCTTAATTTTTTGGATAAATCAATTTAAATTTTTTAAATTTCAAATTCTTAATTTAGATATGACATTTAATTTCTAATGAAAAAAAAATATTGAAAGATTGAAATCTTAATATTAACTTTTCTAAAATTAAATTACACTTTTAGAAATACCTTCTCAACCCAAAAAAAAGTTATTGCTTTTTTACATATTAGCCTCTTGATGAAATAAACTTTTGAAGGGGGTTAGGGTGAGAATAATGTTGAACTGCCATTAAAGTAAAATGAAAAATTAGTTATGAAGTTACAAAAGTGATAGCAAAAAGAAAAATATGCTTCTTACAGCGCCTGATGGAAGTAGCTAGGTTCATTTTGAACTTACCGGTTGCCACATAACAGGAAGTCAATGAACCAACAACATTCATAGCACCTAATGCCACCATTTCTTTGTTTCCATCCAGTTGATAGTCCTTCATAGAAGCAAATGTTCTTCCAATTGCTGTGGCTTCCTGATAACCAAAATGAAATACTTCTTAACAACACATAAAAGTAAATGGAAAAATATTCTTCGTATTAAGATAATAGTGTCAACGTTTGCTTACAGTCAATGCTATCATGCCAGCCACAATGCCAATTCTGAAACCTTTCCCAAGGAAATCACCAGTAAAATAAATTTCCTTCACCGATGACGGATTGATGCCTTTATCTATATGTTTTACCTTCACACATCAATACACAAAAAAGTTTTACTACTGCTGCAATTTCAGTCTTACTAACTTGGTACAGTTTGGAATTAGTATTTGGGGGGAAAAAAACATTATATTCTTAGTTTCTCCTGAGAATGCTTTTGATAACAATAATGATAATTTCTTTTTTTAAATAGCTCCAATCAAGCATGCATTTAATCATATGACTACAGTTACAATCTGCCATATTTTGCATGAGAAAGGTAATATATTACATATGTACTCACAATTGCAACACCATGCTTGTCAGCACGTGTTAAGTATACAAAAAGAGTGGAGAGAACAACAGATATCAGCGGGGAAATTGCTGGCACCCAGAAGAACCTCGGGTTCTTCTTTCCCTGATCCACGTATCATCATAAAATAGTGAGAAACTATCATAATCTGTGTTAGGAATATATAGCCAAATGAGTTAGTGTGCTTACAATAAACTTGGCAAACAGAAGAAAAAGCAGAAAGGCAGCTCCAATTACTATAGTTTGCCAATTCCACTGCAATATGTTAGCTATTGATCAGTTTTAGCGTTACAAGCATCTTCAGAATAAAACTTCGTAATAATTTTTGTGCGCAAGTCTAGTCTAGAGAGTAAGAGAAAGCATACTCCATGATGGGCTGATGATAGTACTGAGTGCATCACAGAGATAACATCAGTTTTCTTTGTGAACTTTTGAATCCCAAGGAAGCCCTTAAGCTGTTGAAGGGCAATTGTGATGGCAGCTCCGCCCATAAAACCAACAATTGCAGCATGAGATAGGAAATCAATCAAAAATCCTAACCTGGTACAAAGATCCATCACATCAACCAGAATGTCACCAAGGTGAATTAAAAGTAGAGCAATTCATTTGGAGGATGGTAGCACTAGCACATCTACGAGGCATAAACATCATGTTAGGATGATTTAAATTCTAACTCGCCTAGTCAAATTGTCATACCTTAAAACCCCAAGTGTTGCTTGAGTAATCCCCGCGAAGAAAGTGGCAGTAAAAGCAAGTCGTCGATACTCTAGTGGATTTGCAATGGGATCAATCTCACTCTGAAGTAAAGTCCCCAACAAGAGAGAAACCACAGCCACTGGTCCTATTGCAATGTCACGAGAACTACCCATCACAGCATAAATTAGTGGTGGAATAAAGCTGGAGTCTGTAAAAGGTATAAGAAAAGAAACAAAATCTCAATCTAATATCCAAAGAAAAGTAAGCACATAGGCACGTTGAGCTGTTAAAGACAGACGAGTCTTACACAATCCATACTGTGGATCTAAATTTGCAAGCTTTGCATATCCAATGTCCTGTTTTTCAAGAATATTACAATATAAAACCTTCAGAATGGGATAAGAAATAGGAATTAAATGCTTCATAAACATATATCATTCTATTATTTTTCAAAAGCTAAAAATGACCATTTTACGGAAAATTCACCTGAGGAATGCAGAGACTTGCAATAGTTAGACCAGCAATAAGATCCCCTCTAAGTTTTGTGAAATTATAGGTTCTCCCCCAGCTAACTATGGGGAAAATTGCTTCAATGCCAAGGATGACCTTTCGGGACTTAGTCTGATCCTTGAAGGACCGTAGAGGATCATCTGCGAAAAACGTTTCTTTTACAGTGGATTGGAATTCCTTGAAAAGGTTTTGCCGCGGAGGAATTCCAACCTTGTGGACATATGGTTCCTGGCCATGTGAAGATGGCAAACTTCTCACATTCATGTCTTTTGTTTCAAGATTTTCATCAGCTGAACCACCCATTGAGGACATCAACAATGACTTTCAGCTGTAATACAGTGGGGAAATTTTATATCTGAGTAACGGACCAGTTTAATTGCAGCATTGAATCATAACAAAAATATTGTTCATATTGAATTCAAGTCAGGCTCCTACAAGGCTAAAACCCTTCAATTCTAGTAGATTTTGTTTCTTCAGTATACAATAACGCTTGTAGCTCTAGTTTTAAACCCAGAAGTGAAGAATGTCAGGTACATAGTAGAGTACTGATAAAGTGGTCTTACTAACTGAGAAATAATCCAGAAAAAAAAAATGTTAACCAACCTGAATTAAAAATAGGGGACCAGAGAGAATGGTCAAGGTCACTGGTTGAATAGGTAAAAGTTTCTTGCGCAGAAAGACTGCTGTGAAGCTGGTTTGGGTTATATTACTTCAAGTCAAAAGCTAAAGTCAAGCTGAAATAGAAAACGCACCACAATAAGGTGTGAACCGGAATCAGATACACGTCATTGTTATGCATAATTAAGAAAATATAATAAATTAAAACAGAGAATATTAAATTCCAACCAGACTATCCATGAATTCGCATGTAACAATCAGCAGTTTGCTTCATAAAAAGAATGGAGGGGAAGAAATAAATAGTATGAGAAGGCACTGACTAGCATCCTATAACTAGCAGCACCTACAAATTAGTATGTATTATTGACACTTGCAATAAAAAACCAAGCATTCCAAAGGGCCATGAAACTGTACATACAAAATAAGTTAACCAAAGACATTAAATTTCATATTTTGTCTATGGACACATAATTATCACAGATGTAATAATCAAGGTTATAGTTTAAAATCTCATTCTCGAAGAAACAATAAAAAGGAATCAAATTTTTAAACCTTAATGAAGTCCTAGAACACCTTGGAAATAAAAATGACAAGAATAGTCATGTTTGACCGTTCAATGGAATCATCACTATCTACCATTCAATATAATATTATGTAGTAAGTAAGATACACAATCGTTAACGTGGCGCCACAACATTTAGTTTTAGTTTTCACTTTATATAAGCACATACATGCAAAGGAGAAGAATTGGACAGCTCGTTCAATGAGAATAAGACAGAACCAAAACATGATCTTTTTTCAAACCCTCAAGAACCACTAAATGTCTATTCAAAAATCATATTGAGTTTGAAGAATAAAGTCCAACTCAAAACTAACCTCTCCTTCCTAAACTTCTCACGCAAGCCATTGAAAGTGGAGGATCCCAATCTCACCCTGTCACATTTTCGTCGAAGCACAAAGTAAAACAAAACAGAAAAATGATCAAAAGGGAAAAAGATATATCTATTTATATGTATTTCTTCACATAAAGACAGTACCCTGAAACAGTTATAGCTTGTTTTCAATTCTCCACAATCGATGGTTCTCGTGTGTCTTCACCACAAGACTCGATTTTGGTTTTGAAACTCTGAAAACCATCAATAAAAAGTGGCACTTAAATTAAAGAAACCACATAGCTCAATCCCCGTCCAGGTTCTATGAACATTATCTTGTTGAGGGATTTTCCTTTTTTTTTTCTCCTTTCAGGCCGTGTTTGGTTGTGAAAATTAAAAAAACGGAAAGAGAAAAAGGGAGCATGACACCATGTCTTTACGAGGAAAATCAAATTGAGATTGGAATGGGTGATGTTTTCATGCATAAAACAGGAAATCTGAAAAGTTTTTGACGTTTTTAATGTTTTTTAAGGTCAAATGTAGGCTTAGTCGAAACACATGTAGAGTTCAGAGTTTGAGGCACACACTTGTTTGCAGGCTGTGGGGTAACCAAATTGAAAAGTCAAATGAAAAACACTATTCCTATGTTTTGCGTACGTTGGTGATGCTTCTTTGGGTTTCGCGGGTGGCCCCACACGTGCATTCCTGTGGAAAATGTTGAATGTAGCCGTCTTGTCGGTCACATTCATTGTGCTTCCACTTTGTGAGGAGGACACCAATTTCACGTGGCACTTGGGTCTATTTTCTCTTCTAACTAAAGTAGTGCAGTATACAAATAACACACGCACTTTCCTCTCATTTTTTATTTATATTTTTCTATATATGGATCACATTTAGGAACCCATATTTAATTTAATAAAATAAAGATTAGAATAGTTTATATTGGATAACTTGAACTCAATCATTCATTTTATAAATTTGATGATTTTGTAAATTTGATAATGATTGAAAGGTTTAATAAAATATAATGACTAAATTTATAAACTGACATGAACAGTTAGATTTTGTAAAATTAGTGGTTTTGGTGTAAGATGTTTTACTTATATAATGTGCATACACACTAAACTTAACTCATAATTCATTTTATAATTTCTGGCATCTATATAATTGTATAAAGAATCTCCTAACTTCTTTATAATTATTTTTTATGTTACAGCTATATTACTATAAAGGATTTTATAATATTATTTATTTGAAAAAAGGAGAAAAAAGGTGTGATAAAATAAGAGTATGTAATATATGTAAAGAGGGGAGAGATAAAACATGATTCATATCAAAATAGTGAAAAAAATATATAATTAAAAAAATATTTTAAGAAATAATAATATAAAAATATAAATACCTTAAAACATGTGTTTTGTCTAATATTAATTAATAAAGAGATTATTGATTTTAAGGATGATTATCTCATGACAGAGATCTTGATAAATCGTTATTACATAAAATAGCTATAAAGATTCTTAAATATATATGTATATATATATATATATATATATATATATATATATATATATATATAATGATAGTTTTAAAATCTTGTTATAATTATTGTTAAAAATTGAAATTGTTAATTGTTATTTAAATGATATTAATTATATTTATAATACTAACAAATGTTTTAACACCCACATGAAATGTGTCTCCGGTACAACAGTGTCTAAATAATTTATTTAGAATAATATGAATTGTTTTCTTATTGAAATATTTTATGTTATTTTTATTCTCCCTACTAGAAAAAAAGTTGAAGACATCGTGATAGTGAAGAACATTTATAAGAGGAGAGAAAGTGGGAGAAGAGGAGGTGGAAAAGTACCTCCTCATGGTCTTTCTCTCTTGCAAGAGTGTAATTCATGACAAATAGAGACATTTTACAGAGTAGAGAAATAGAAGATGAGTGGAATCCCAAAGAAGAGAGAAAAAAAAGAAAAAAGAAAAAAAAAAGTTTGGGAAGTGAAGGTGAAATGACCTGATTAAACAAATTGAAAAATATAATAAGATATACAACAAACATTAAAAGGTTAAATGATAATGATTATAGTGCAATTAATATATAAGGAGAATTATAAAAAATTATTAATTTAAGTATATAATTATAAATGAATCATAATTAAAATGTTAAAATTAATTTAAAAATACCATTTCATATCTTTTAATAATGATTTATGTATAATTATTTTCAAAAAATATTATTTTTTATCTATTTTATATTAGTAAATTTAAATTAAATCATATTAATCTAATTATCTTATTGGTGATTAACAATATGAGATGTGTACCCTAAAACCCACACTAACAATATTCATTCAAAATATTATAAATATTAATAAATATTTATTGTCCTATTAATATATCGTATAACTTTATATATACATACTATAAATAGTTCTCATTAAATTGTAAGATCAACATTCTATTGAATTAAGTTAAAATACAATCTTACCAATAAAAGATTTACAAATAATATTATTTTGAAAAAAAATTATATACCAAAATATTTAGCGAATTATTGAAAATAAATTTTATGTTTAAATACACTCTATATTTAAATATACTCTTGTATGATAAAATAAAGAAAACTCTAATTACATACTCTCTCAATTAGATGTTTTTAGTGTTTTTATTTTCTTTTATTCAATTTCGTATTTTACATATCGTTATCTTACCTTTATTTATTTAAACTTTTCCATGTTTATTATTTTTAATCTATTTATTTTCTTATGTCTAACTTTAAAAATAGATAATCAAATGAGATTATATAACAACTTAAATTAAATCTAAGTATAATTTACAAATTAAATACTTTTAATTTTGTAATATAATTTTAATTTGTAAAGACAAACATGCATGTTTTATTTAAAATATGCAAACTAAAATACTAACTATATAAATGACAAAACTAAAAGGTGAAAACAGGTTCAATGGTTAAACAGATTATAATCATTAATTAAAATTGGAGTATAATTTAAAACATATAATTAAACTCAAGTCCTCAATGTTCAGAAAAACTTGTGAAAACTCTTTTTCTGTAGTTTTTCTAAATTCACTTTAATTATATTTGTTAAAACAAACCATATAGTCAGGTGACGTATAAATGCTGCATTGGAAAACAATTTTTTAAAGATTAAGAAACAAATTGTTCGATGATAAAATTTAAAAATAGTTTGAAAATTGTTATAGTCACCGTTCTGTGGAATCTTGAAAACGATGACCAAAATAGTGGTCACAAATGGTTTTTCCAAAGTCCTGGTTTTGAAGCATAGCAGCAGTGAAAAGATGCAGGCTTGTGAAAAATTAATGTCGGTGGCCTCACATATAGTTCAAGACTTGATTGTGCTGCATGTTTGATTGGCCATGTTAATGGCTTGACAAGAAGTCGAGTAAGACATGCATGCATGCATGCACAGGTGACACGAGATGGATCTGGAAATTACGTGGCAACTGAGAGATTTAAGCATCGTTAGTGTTGGGGGGCATGCAATGGTTCCTCTGGGTTCAATCTGACACTTGTGGCATGGTGATTCTTTAAGTGAGAGGTGGGTGGTGAAATCTTTGCAATGATTTCAATGAAGCTTGGTGTATGCATGAGTGATGATAAGGAGCTATTAGTTTATCCATGAAAATGAAAATGAAAATGAAAATTTATTTTGGAAACGTTTCAAAGTTGTTGTTTGGGATTATTGTCTTCTTTACCATATTTTCAGATAAATAGGAAGTCATGAAATTCAGAAACATAAAGTTTAAGTTGAATGAGAATATGAGAGGTTTTTTTCCTTTTCTCATTTGTATGAAGTTTATTTTCCCTTTGCACTAGTGAAAACTTACGTACTTAATTTATTAGTATAAAGTTAGTAATTCGTATAAGGAATCTCTCAAATTTTTGTTTCGGTTTTCAAACATGTTTGGGTAATATTGAACCATTATTCATATTTTAATTTTTATTTATTTTCAGGCTGAATGATATTCTGGTCATTTATTTGATTATATGTTTCAGGTTTTAAATTTTTATTTTTCAGTTTGATTATTTTATCTCTTAATTTTGTATTAATTTAATCTTTTAAATATAGTTATTATTTCCGATTTTAAGATAAGATTTTGAATAAATTTTTGACTGATTTAAGACAACAAAAATTGTTATATTATAAAATCCAACCCATTTTCAAACCAAAAACAATCATAAATATGATGAAAAATATGCGTGAAAAACAAAAATGGTCATAATAATATTATTTTTTTCAAAAAAAAAACTTATAATTTTATAAGTCATAAGTCAACACAATATTTTCATTGTGTACAATTTGAATTTGGCCTCTCCCAAGTATGACGTAAATGGTAGCAATCGGTTCCATAAATGAATAGGCTCAGAAGGTTGTAGCAGTAGTAGCAGTAGTAGCAGTAGCAGCATTAAGTGGTAGACACTCCAGTTTTTTCTAGTTGGAGAGTTACTCAACTTGGAAAATATACTCTTTATCATTCAGAAGGCTACAACAACTATAACAGTTATTAGATAAACAAATTTAAATAGAAAAATGATATTTTTGATAACATATTATTTAACATACAATATAATATAATAATAATTTCTATTATTGTATAATAAAGTGATATTATATGTGAACTATTTATAAGTATATTGGTACCCTTTTTAAATATAAGTCCCCAAAATAAAGAAAGTTTCGATAACAAAATAAAGTTATTTTATTAATATATATTACACAAATAAATTAGCAAAAAAAAACAATAAAACAATTATATATAAAAAATATAATTAATATTGTTTTAACTTTTTTAGCTTTGATGCAAGAGTTATTTTAAACTTCAATATTTACTTGTGAAAAGAATAAATGAATCAAATATATTTATGATTAATCATACAATAAATCATGATTAAGATAAGATCTAAAACTTATTAGATGTAACATGCCTTTGACAAAAAGCAAAAGACTGAAGTAAAGAAAATATATATGCTTTCTCATTCTCACTCATCTTTATATATAACTGAATGTGTTCCATATTGCGTCCAGAATCAATTGCCACTCGAGTTGACTAATTTGGAATGTTTTTAAGGAAAAAGGAGGTATACACACCAAAAACACTTTCGAAGGTGACTTCCACTAAAGCTATGATGATCATTCATAAAGCACCGCATCTTTGAAACTTTATGGCATTCGCGTAAGCCTCCTAAACTCCAAATTTTCAATTCTATCAACTTGTACTCACCATCATCTTTTTTTTTTTTTTAATCATTATTTTTTGCTATATACTCTTATTTGTTTTTTATATAATTAATTTCACTTATATAACTAATTTCACTTAACTATTTTTGGTGGAATCTTTCTGTTAGTGGCAAATCGAGAAAAGCGATCGAAATCGAAGGGAAGAAATATGACTCGATAAGATAAACAAAAGTTCATTCGATGTCTAATTAGAAATACGTAGCATATAGCGATCGAGAAACACAATCGAGAATCAAATGAATTACAATCAAATAACTGTTGTCGAATAAAAACTAAGTCATATAAGACCAGGGTTAAAAAGGAATCATAAGCAATTCGAAGTTCTCGAATTATACAGAATCGAGAGTAAAGAAAGCCAATGTGGACATCGAGACTTTGGCCAAATTGTGAAGGGAAGTAAGTCGAATGCACGTATAGAGAGCAGTTCTGAAATCATGGGAAAAAGTCGGAGATCGTGAGAACGTG